TATACAATCGACGACCGACCAATAACAAAGAACACGGATCAACACGGTGACTTGGAGCCACTTACTCCAAACCATTTGCTTTTGATGAAGAGGAAACCTAACATTCCTCCAGGAGTCTTCGATAAGTCAGATCTTTACCACAGACGCCGTTGGAGACAGATACAATATATGGCCAACTTGTTCTGGCATCGTTGGGTACGCGAGTACTTACCACTTCTCCAGGAACGACAAAAATGGCATGATATCAAGAGAAACTTTCAAGTTGGTGATATTGTGTTAGTTGTGGATTCGAACGCCCCAAGGGACTCTTGGCCGATGGGAGTAGTACATGAGACGATTCCTGACAGAAATGGACTCGTGCGTCAGGTCAAGGTGAAAACCGCGACAAACATTTTAACGCGACCTGTCGATAAGCTGTGCATGATCCTAGAAATGGACTAAGAGACTGTTTGAGATAAATTTACTAAGAGACTTTGAATAATTGAATATTCGTCTTTCATGTATTGGATTTGCTAGGTATCATGTTTATCATGTGCATATTTCATTTTTGATAAGAATTTAGTACAGTGTATTAACCTGTTTAACTTGCATTGTATTTTTATACAATTTTTGGGTTAATGGATATAATGTATATATCTATTTTTGTAATTGTGTCACATTTGTTCCACAATTAGGGGGCTGGATTGTTACGGCCATTTCGGTTACTAGACTTTTTAGGGTCATTAGTGTGATGTGACGTCATCGTTTTTGGGGCACAGTAATTTTTTGTGTTGAGCCCGTGTTATCATGGCAGAACGCGGCAGGGCTTGGTGCCGCATTTGTTACAAGTTTGCCATTTGCTAGTTTACTATGATGCTTTCCAGTCTTTGTACTGATATTTATTTCACCGGAGGAAACTTCTAATTGGTGAGTTTTTCTATGTAAATCATTTAGTTGTATACACTGTATATTTGTCATCGCGGTAAATTTAGCATTTTTATGAACCTGGCTATAAAGTTATTGTTGAAAGTACTTGTGCACTATGTAGGAGTAATAATTATAATGCTATTAGTAAGTTAGGTACATTATTGACATACATATTGTAATTTCGCTGGATATGTGCACACTTATTACGTACGGTAGATAAATCTTTTTATTGCCATGTTTTTCTATCATGATTTGTGTCAAGAAGAGTTATGCTTCTTTGTTTACATTTTGACGACAGTTTTTGTGTATTGAAGTATTTTCTAGAACATGTAATACATCATCATTATTTGCTAGGATGTGTTATCATGTGTACTTGCTTGAAATATCTTATAGTATTTTTTCTTTTAATTTTTTGTAGTAAATCGTCATTTTCGTCAGATTTTCCACGTCATATTTTCCAAGTCATTTCTACGTCTACATCCATGTCAATGTAATCGTCATTTCAACGTCATACACGTCATTTCCATGTCAACTTCAACTTCAAGTCATATTTCCATGTCATTGTCATCGCCATATCTCATCATCCTCATAAATAAAATCATTGGACGCATTTAAAACGTTGTTTCCTTAATTTCCTGTCCGGAGTCAGTACAAATTATGTTGTGAATGTCACCATATAAGTAAGCAGAGATGATTGAGTAAGATTTTATGACTTATTAAAGTGAATTTTAAAGAATCAGTCTTTATTGAACGAGAATACATTTTTAAAGTTTAGAATCACAGACTTTATAGATAAATACTGTAAAACAAGAATATTTGGCGCACTACTAATTTTAGCGCCTTTGGCGCAAGAGCCCCTGAGCGCTAAAATTTATTGTGCGCTAAAGGATTTCTAAATATCATTTTTGTGTGTCTTCAAAGCTTTTACATAAGTACATGTAAACCGGAACACGCGATTACGTAATGTCGAAGGGTCATTGGATTTTATATACACACTAGTACTGCACATGTTCGGAAGACAAAGTTCTGCCAAATTATAATTTAATAAAACTATTGTACCCCAGTAGTTGTTACACGATTATTATCATTAGCACCTTCAAAGTTTGGCTTTTCGGCGTGCCAATCATCTATCGCCTCGAGGTAAACAATGCAATCAGGCATGGCGATTGAGCTTGCACACAATACCTGATTACTCAGTAGGATTACCGTTTTATCGAAATAATTTTCTGTCAATGCATGCATTGTTTTAATATGATTTTAAATGAGTAAATACTCCATTTCTTTTCATAGAAAATAGAAATAAAATTAATATTTAACATTGTGCCACGTCCATGTGATAGCAGCAGGTACCGCGGTAAAGTTAACGAATGTTTACTGATATACGGGAGTACTAATGTGTTTCCGTGCTTGACTAACCAAAAGGTCAAATACGGGTGTGGATAAAAAAAATATCAAATAAAAATTTTATATATTTTACTGACAAGTGCAAGCGCTAAAATTTATTTGCGCTAATGCATTCCCACTTGCGTTTGCGCTAAAATATGTATGCGCCAAATTTTCTCGTTTTACAGTATGCCAGAAATATTCATAGATACAATGCATTTATAAGTGCATATACTTTTGTACTTTTACATAAATTTATATTATAAACGCAACATATATAATAGTCAGTTTTTAAGATTTCTACTTTTTAATATTATGCGTTTTCAGACCAGGAAATCAAATACTTGTTGAGACGGAGAAGCGTGCTAAATACTAGTACATATCACTGTGAAATCTCTAATGGGCACTCGAGATGGTGAGATAACAGAAAAGTTACAAAAGATGCAGAGTATTTTAAATAAATACCTTATCTAACAGATGTTATCAAAAAGTTCGTTGACTAGAGTCTTAAAATTAAAGACCTGAGGTAAACTTTCATTGAAATGCTTCAATGACATGAAATAAATAGATGAAGATGTTTTATCTGCAGTTACTTTACAAAAAGATGTCTTTTTCAATATTACATTTCTACGTTGCAGAAAGTCATTAACTTGTTCTTTTTATACCCCCCGCTTGAAAAGCGGGAGGGTATATAGTAATCGTTAATTCCGTCCGTCTGTACGTCCGTCTGTCCGTCCGTCCGTCTGTCTGTCTGTCCGTCCGTCTGTTACGCTTTGGGGTACCCATCTCTTATCCGCAACTCCTCTCATACCACTGAATGAAATTTGATGAAACTTTCACAGAATCTTTATTACATATTGCCATTGTGCACCTCCTATTTTACTTTTTGATCCGGCACATATTTTGGGTTTCCCGGCCACAGGAAAACATGGACTTTTTCACCAGTTATAACCATATGGGAGGCGGGGGGTATCATTTAGTGAGCTCATCGCTCACAGTAACTCTAGTTTATTTAAACTTTAATTGAAAGATCTGTTCTGTGTATCTTATATTTCCTAACGTATAAGAAATATTTTCCTGGTCATGAATTTCCTTATGCACTTTCCGCACTTATCAACCAATTGTCACTTCTTTCAAATTTTATAATTAGTAGTTGTTATTTGATGCTTTTTTTTTACTTTAAAGGGGTCTCTTGATATTGAAATAATTCGGATATCGTTATAAGGCCCTTACTTTAGATATTATCTCAGCTTAAGTGGCTATTGACAGTCCTATCAGAGAGAATCTGAAGTAATCTTAATACTTTCTTTTGACACTTTCTGATTCTTCAGATTATTTTTCAGTACATTTAAGGTATTCCGCCTTGATAAGATTTTGCAAAACCTGTGATTAATTTAAATTCATACCTAATAGAACAATATCTTTTGAAAGAATGCTTTACAATAGGTGTAATGATAAATAATGATAAATATTGTTTAGTACATGTAAAAGAATTTAAAAAATACATATTTTTAAATTCAATCAATTATTCAATCTAAGGTCTCTTCATTCAGGAATTTGCTTTATTGTACTTCTAATGTTAAATAGTTTCCCTGTTATTCACATTTCAAAAGTTGTTATAAGTAGAAACCAAGTTGGAAAATTCAGCATCAGAATTATGCATTTTAACCAGTTTTTACATAATTTTCATAATATTGTGTACAACAAATGTGCGATTTTTTTATGTCGACATTCACTTCTGTTAACTTAAGCTTGGCATCTTAAATAATATGGTGTCCTATACATTTCTTGCAATAATTGGAAAATTTAAAGTATATTAGAAGAAAATAAATGCAGTTTTTGAACTTTGAACCATTAAAATTGTGAGGGTGGAAAAACCTGAATATATATATTTCAAGCCACTTTCTGGGGTTCTGGTTTGACAAACGTTGAACATGTCACTGTAATGACAGGAAATATATTTTTTCCCATGGATGCTACGGCTTCATTTGGTATAAATAAACATGTCTTATAAATCAAATTTACAAGTTTGGTCAAATATATACTTTGTAAACATACAATCGGATATATCCCTTTTCACACTTAAAGCAATATGAGCTGCAACTTTGATGTCAGAATTTTTTGTTGCAAATTGTAAATAACTATCTGAATGACAGAAAAAATAACGTCGATAAACTTCTGTTGTTCATATTTGTGATGAAAGAACTTTTTCTAAGCTTCCATTAAATCAAAGTTACATTATTGTCGTCCTGTACAATAATGCTTTCTTATATAAAACTGTATATTTGACTGTATTTAGAAGTCTTTTTCTGCTTTAATTTAGTATAATTGATCATAAAGATTTAAATTAAATACAAATTTATCATAATAACACAATTTTACAGCAAAATAAACTTTTCAAAAATGCAGCTCATATTCCTTTAACTTATTTGCAGAAGTGTATAAAATATAAACGAATCTTATGTAAAATTTTTAATTTTACCTTGGTTGGGAAACTGTCATTGAAATCGTGTGCATTATATCTATGTCATTTAGTATTTCCCAAATAATACAGGTTAATTAAAACTTTCTATATTTTAAGAAGCGGAAATTATCAGTTTGAAATCCTTAAAGACATTGTATATAAATACCTTTTTCAGTATAGAAATCTTGACAGCTGGATTCCAACATTTGATTGGACCTTATTTCCTGAAATCACTAAGAAATCTTACCTCTTGTGATGCAAAGGATTCCAAATAAAACCTGACTCAGATACATGTATTCAAACATATTTCACTTTGTTATCCAATAAACTTAAATATAGGAGTATTCAATTTAACATCAATTTTAGTATAAATTCTGTGCATGTGAGGAAATGGAAAATTGTTCACATCTGTATTATATTTTTTTCAACAAGGGTGTGATGTAGTGTCAGAAGGACCACTTTGTGTTATTGGCGAGTTTTATTTAATTTAACAAAGCTTTCAATTTTTGCTAAATTTCCTTATGAATTGCTGTTTTTGCCCATGAAGAGTTTTATATAATACTTCCGTATCATAATAAATAATTTAAACATATTTCATCATATTTTTGTTCTTATATCAATGATCATAGGATTGAGTTGGCAATATATGGGCGTGGTTGATATCAAAAAGTTTATGTAAGTTCCTTCGTTCTAGTAGGAAGATGCTATAAATTTCTTGACGTTTTACGAATTTAAATATCTTTCAATACATGATCAATCTTGAGAGCTCTTGATAGATTTGATAAAAGAAATACAGTTACACCAAGTAGCTATATAAACATTTTCCTAAGTCAAGAGTTTCTGATCTGCTCCGCTCCACATAAACCCTTGACCGAATAGAAAAAGTATACTATTGCGCCATCTAGTGAGATAACACATTTTGAACTCTATTGGCCTCTAATGTAAGACAATATTAGAATTCGGTAATAAATTCAAAAATAGCATTAACAAAACAGATGAGACAATCATAAAACTTTGTTATTTAATGGTAAAGACGTTTTCGCTTGGACTAAAACTGGCGAGTTGTTTCTGTTTACGATTTTGTTTGAGGTTAATTAAAACAATGTTTTTTTAATTTGTTCATGAAATTTGTATGAGGACAATCAGAGAGAGCATTTCTTACCCCGTCAAACTTTGTCTATTCGGCAAAGGGCTTCTGTGGAGCGGAGCGGATAGGAAACTCTTGACTTGGGAAAATGCTATATAGAGAGTTATCAAATTATGATATTTAATTATGTTTACTATTAATTATAATAATGTATGCTTTTTATTTGTACAATGTATTGAATATATCCCGCTAAGCAAAAGACAAAAGGTACCACATAGTATGATACATCTGTTTCATACTGAATATTTTACTAGAAAAAACGTTAATGATAATCTTACAACAAAGCTCTTTCATAATCGTGATGACTTGAACTTTTCTGTCATCATTTTTCCTTACTTATGCTGCAATGTACCTTAATCACCTGCATACGGAGTTTATACATATCAGTTGATTCGATACGTAAACGCCTGCTCTACGTATGTACAATTACTAAAACGAGGTAAATTTTCAACAAAGAAGTTGATAAAATTAGAATGTCAGCAGTCTTGTTGAAACTCATCAATTTTTTAAGTTCTATGGGCGATACAATGACCTTGTCTGCAAATACAATTTATCATTGAGTAAAAATGGTGATAGGCGTTTTTCATACAAATTGTTAGTCCATGATTTAAGCACTGAATTAATGACTACATTTTTCCATTATTTTACGATCATGACATGGAGCACACTGTGGTTGTGACCGGTCGGCAGGGGATTCTCATTCCTCCATGCAACTGATCCCACCGCTGCTGATGTTTTGAAGGTCTGTGTATGCTATGCTCCTAATTTGTATTGTTTTAAGAACTTTTGATCTTGGGCACTGTTTATGATCTTTGTATGTTTTTTGAGAGATATAAATTCCATATGCAAGTAAAAACATTTCTACATGAGCAGGGAGGGATAATGATTGATATAAACTAAAAGTGTGCATAGTGCATTTATCTAAATGTCGACTTCAAGGCCGCATGAGGTGTACCGATTTCTCATGTCGAGTGTTTAACCAGAAAATTGTAAGAATATAAAAATAGCTAAATGTTTAAAAGGATATAATTGGTAAATATGAGAATTCCAGCATATAAAAGCGTATAAAAAAAAACGACTGAATAAGATCAACTGAAATCTAATTGCACTTTCATGCAAGAAACAAAATATATGCATAAAATAGAAACAATTTCAAAATATAGACAAACGAAGCATTATACATTTATAATAAAAGGAAATGGTCAATTTCAATTAAACAAGAGGCCCATGGGGCACATTGCTCACCCAAGAACCTGTGACCATGCTATTATAAACCAGATTTAGCCCTTGTAATACCTATTGTGACCCATCATACACCAACGGTCATAATTTGGACAATCTAAAATCTACACTACCCCGCCCAACCCCAAGAGTCATGATTTAAACAATTTAGAATTTATACTACTCCAGGATGCTTCCACATAATTTTCAGCTTTTCTGGCCCAGTGGTTCTCGAAAAGAATATTTTTACAGAATTTTTCCTATATATTTTTATGTAAAATTTGCTTCCCTATAGTGGCCCCGCCTAACCCGTATAGTCATGATTTGAACAATTTAGAATCTATACTACCCCAGGATGCTTCCACATAATTTTCAACTTTTCTGGCACAGTGGTTCTTGAGAGGAAGATTTTAAAAGTTTATATATTGATATTTCTATATAAAACTTTGATTCCCTTTTGTGGCCCCGCCCAACCCCCGGGGGTCATGATTTGTACAATTTAGAATATAATCTATCCCAGGATGCTTCCACATAATTTTCAACTTTTCTGGCACAGTGGTTATTTATAAGAATATTTTTAAAGATTGTTTTCTATTTTTTTCTATGTAAAACTTTGATTCCCTATAATGGCCCCGTTCAAACCCCGCAGGTCATGATTTGAACAATTAAGAATTTACACTATCCCAGGATACTTCCCCATAAGTTTCAGCTTCTCTGGCCCATTGGTTCTTTAGAAGAAGATTTTAAACATTATTTTCTACAATGTATATACATGTACTTCTTTGTTAAACTTTGATTCCTTATTGTGGCCTCGCCCAACCCTCGGGGTCATGATTTCAACAATTTAGAATCTACACTATCCCAGAAGGATTTCTCAAAAGTTTCAGTGAGTTCTTGAGACTAAGATTTTTTAATGACCCCATCCTATTTTTGTCTTATCTTCATTATCTCCCCTTGTGAGAGGACATGGCCCTTCATTTTAACAATTTCATTTTCCCTTTAACTAAGGATTTTTTTGTACCAAGTTTAGTTAAAATTGGCTAAGTGGTTCTTGAGAAGAAGTCGAAAATGTGAAAAAAAAAATTACAAATGGACAGCCGGATGGACGAACAGACGACGGACAAAATGAAATCAGAAAAGCTCACTTGAGTCTTCGGCTCAGGTGAGCTAATAAAAATGATGTTATTATGGCCTCAGGTAATGTGCATATTCAATAAAATTAATATTTACTTGGTGCTATAGTGGGAAATTATAATACAAAGGAACAACATAATTTTCATAAAAATAAAGTTTTAAGAGTCTTTTCAAATTTCAAAATATAGACACACGAAGAATTATACATATGTAATTAAGGTAAACGAAAATTTTTAATTAAATAAAAAATGACATTATTACGGGTTCCAGTCATACCAGAGGTAGGCATATTAAAAAAAAACTTGGTCCTCAATTTGAAAATTCTAATACAAACGAACAAAACATAATTTTCATTGAAATAGAGTTTAAAGTGTCTTTCCATATAGTGTATACGCCATTAAAAACAGATTACGTTAACGATTAATATTCTAACATTAATCTAGCGTAGCTACTCTATGTAGCTCCATGTTTCTAAAACCAGTCAATTTGAAGGCATGGAACATTTTAAACTAAAATGGCTGAAAAAATAAAAGAAATGTACAAATTATCAAACTTGAAAAATAAATAAAAGTAAAATTAGCAAAACAAATTATGTACAGAAAATTCAATGATATATATTTCTAAAAAAAAGGTATCTAGATAAAACATGTCACCTATATCCATGTGTGTCTGCATTAGTTGTTTCTTTCTTTCAATTTAAGATACACTTATTTGCTAACCACCATAAGCTTTTTGCTTTGTTAATTGAATATTTGCCAAACACGCAATCTAATATGCCAACTTTCCGAGTATAAAGGGATTTGACAAATGTTTTTTTTATGACAAAGTCCTTCAATGATATGTTTGCAAGACGACAAAAGATTACCAAAGGTGGTTAGTTAGTGTTCAAAAGAGGATTTCCAAGTTGTTACAAATCCTCTATCTAAGCTATCATTGTAGCTGTTTAGCATTTCTTACACCGCAAGTAACATATTTATTTATTTTTTTATAAAATACATTTTAAACAAGTTTTGAAAGCGAAAACAATATTTTTGATGGTGGTTCGCGATTATTCAAGTGTTCTCTTAATTTTAAAGCATAGAGAATTAATTGTAAGGAATGAAGCCGAATTATACCTGTTATCCTCTATGTTGTTTTCTCAAAATTTTGCTTCTGAGACTGCTCAGAAATATGTACATAAGTTCTTGACTTGCTTTTTTTTCTTTTAAATAAGCAACAACATACCTAAAATATAAGCTTACAAAATAAAAAAATGTTTGAAAAATAGGAAACACAAAAAAGAACCTCAAAAATGGTTTCAAAAAATGAACGTTATTAAAAAACAACAAATGGTCTTATTTGAAGCCATATTTGTCAATCTTGTCCATACAGTTTTTTACTCGGCATCATCCTGTGGTTCCTCCATAGGTGGCGCTTTCTTGGAAAAATCCACGAACGTGTACTCTGTTCTCTCTTCTTCTCCGTGCACGACTGGTTTCCCCCTTTTGTCCGACTCGAAGCCCTTGTTTGTAAATTCTACATCAATGTATACTAAACCATCCTCATTCTTTAAAACAAAAAAATATTAATTTCAATAATAAATTTCAAAACAATTCTTAAATTACACCACCGACTAGCTCTAAATATCACAGCAAAGAATATCATTAAGCAGTATGTACCACAGCACGTGTATTCTCATCCATGTTTGATCCCCCTGGTGCCTCTTTCTTTCCTTTAATTTCCTTCTTCTCATCATTTTTCTGCCCGTTCTTTTTATTTGTTTGCTTTTGTTTTCTGGAAGGTTTGATCACTTCTGAATAAACTGTGTCGTTTTCAACTACAATAAATAAATATTTTATTGTGAAGAAGTTTTATCTATTAAGAGAATAAAACAGTTATTTCTTGTTGAACATGAAACGCTGTAACTTCGCGGGCTGCTGTTAGTTTTTCATTTGTAACTAATTTCATTCAAATAACATTATTTAACTGTGAATCGAAGTAATAACTCAGACTGGTCATGGACAGAATCTTATTCACTTGCCTACATCTCTAAAATAAATACTTTCACCGAAAAAAGAAATTAATCTTGTAAACATGTTATTTTCTTCCCAGACAAGGTTTTTGTCATATAATGAGGGGAGAGGGACTTTGAAGGGGAGTGGGTGCTCACTATGTTTGAAAAAAACTAGAGGGCAAAAGGAACTTTTAAAATATATTTGATGAAACCTTTGAAGAGGAAGAGGGAAGGAGTGAGAGGAGAGGGAAAGGGAGAGAGGTTGATGAAATAGATAACTCATCATTTATAAAGTTATGAAAACAAGATGATTTAACTGTGAGAGAATTCTGAGAGAGAGAGAAATAGAGATTTAGAGAGACAGAGACAGAGAATGAGAGAGAATGATGAAATAGAAAATTCACCATTTTGATCCTTGATGACGTCACTCTTCACTACGTCATCCTGTTGCCTGTTCTTCTTGAGGACACTCTTGTCAACAGCAGCGTACACAACAACATCCGGTTGAGTGTAGTCGGTTTCTAAGGCTGAAAGTTATTTTGAAAAAATTAAATATTTAGAAGGTAGTCTGGTAAGGGAACTTAAATTATCACAGATGTTATAGGAAGGTCATGCAAGTGATTATCGTTCAGAAAGCACATTTTTGGATTTTACAGTACCAGACTATGCTTCTTTTTAATTTGTTTCATTGTCTAATGATCTGTTTTTTTCAGGAAAGCTTGTAATTTTACATTTCAATTGATTGCAGAACAGAAAAAACGAATGCGACGTTAATGTGTTCGTTGTCTGTCTTTCTACTTCTGCTGTCGAATCAAGTTTAACATAACTAGGTTAAGGACGTCCTTAGTAATTATGCCTTAAAATATCCGAGAAAAATGAATTTAGGTTGATATCGGTTTGATTTGAAAACATTATGCTTGAAGAATGGGATCCCACTATTTGCATTTGCAAATGTATACATTGCGTCTCTGATATGTGACACGTGACATGTCTAAAATTCGAAGAAAAAAATAAGCCTTCATACTGCAATATTTTCTACGAAGCAAGAAAATATGAAAAGTGCTTGAGGCAACATTTTCATGTCGAAAAACATTAAAATTAAGCAGTCTTTCAATATACTTTTACAATGACATTATACGCATTGAATTTACAATAAAGTGCGTAATTTACGGGATAAAACAATAGCGTACAACCAGTTTCGAGCCTTAAAAAAATAATGATGATAATAGCTACATGTACATGCTTTTCTCTCTGCATCTCATTCTAGTACGTTATACCGAATAAATGTGACTTATTGCGGCTATGCATGAGGCTATTTATCTTCATTTAATTCGACCACAAAATATTACTCAATACATTAACGAATATGTTTGGTCCTTTTGCTTTTCCTAAATTTTCACATTTGCATGCTCCAATAACAGTTTGATCTAGGTATCGAGTGCTGAAACACTTAGTGTTGAACACGGTTGTGACGACTTCACAGATAATGCGGCAATACCTTTTTTTACTCCTGAAAATACAAAAAGTGTTGTGATTGCAAAATGTTACTAATTGATTTATTTTTACTCTAGATAACTAAGTTAACATAATAGGCATTTTCACGAAATATTCATTAATTCTTTGTTTATTATCGAGTGATTTTTAACGATTTATATGATATTGATAATTACTTATATACGAAATAATTTAATTTTTCAAGCTCACTGTCTATCGTAATTACGTAAACATAAAATTCTTGTGTAAAATGATTTACAGTTTTTTTATTGTGTACAAAATAGAAAAACGTGATTAATCACCGATATTCATTTGTATGGTTTTAACGTGGAGCCATGATTGCTTTCAATAACCTTCATCTGTGAGGCATATTCCTTTCTGCTAATGTGCAGGCTACTGTGAAGTCACAGATTTAACCTGAGGTGTAAAGTGTAGGCTACTGTGAAGTCACAGATTTAACCTGAGGTGTAAAGTGTAGGCTACTGTGAAGTCACAGATTTAACCTGAGGTGTAAAGTGTAGGCTACTGTGAAGTCACAGATTTAACCTGAGGTGTAAAGTGTAGGCTACTGTGACGTCACAGATTTAACCTGAGGTGTAAAGTGTAGGCTACTGTGAAGTCACAGATTAACCTGAGGTGTAGAGTGTAAGTAAATAATGCACATCCTCGCGATAAGCATGAGGGGGAGGAGTCAAAACGGAGCATTTCTACGAACACAGACATCTACAATTTAAATTTGATCAATGAAAATACTACTGTAGACGCATTTTCGGTTTACATCGTGATGTTTAGACCAATTATCAAAACTTAAAGTGTCATTTTACTCAATATCTGCTCAAAATCAAGCTAAGGGAATAGTTTTGTCCTTAAATATAAAGGAAAACGGTAAACATAATCGAATAAGTATAAAAGTGCGGACTGCTATAAATGCGATTTTGCCATTTATAACTAAAAAATACATAGGTGCGATTTATTATCAACTCCCCACCCTTTATTTTATCAATTTGTATTTCTGAGAAAATAATATGTAGGCTACAGACTTTTTGCATGGAATATACGCCACTGCTTATGCATGTATATAGATAATATATGAAATAAATATCCCTAACGTAGCTGCAAACATCAGGAAAGCAAACTTTAAAATACATTATATTTTACAATGAATAAATACAAAAAATGAGATATAAAGTATTGTGAAGAGTTTACTCTTTAGAAGAAGATTTTGATGAAGTGAGCCATATGGTTGATCATAATCACAAACGCATTTATATATTAATTAAGAATAAGTTTTCTCACATCCGCTGTTCCTTTCTTCACTCTTATGATTCTGCGCTGACTTTTTCCTCAGGAAGTACATCGTCATAACGACAGCAAGGATTACAATACAAACTACACCGACAGCTGAGGAGACAATCGCAACCAACATACTATTATCCTCAGATTGGGAGGATGACGTAGGTAAGGCTGAAAATAAAATCAAATTTTATGCATAAAATTATTTTTTTCAATTTAAACAGTTAAGAAGGAGATAAAAATATTTTTTTTAAATGGAAAGAACTTTATTCGGTAATAACCAATATTTGCTTGGAGATATATTCAATTAAGGTCTTAAACAGGGGAGTATATGCTGACTTCAAAGCACTGAATATTTTTATAAGTAACGACGCCATATGTACGTAATGACGTCACAAACATGACGTAAATTTCAGTTTTTTTATGAATTTTACAGAAAAATGTACATATTTCGTCGATATTTTGAGTAAAAGTCACCGAGTGCATGTGTGTTCAGGATCAATATTTTGATAATGTGTAGAATGATAATATCAATGAAATATGTCAATATTGTTTCTGAACAAACATGCGCTCTATAAATTTTAAAGCTAAAATTGTTGAAATTTTGTCCATTTTATCCTCTTTCTTAAAAAGGATATCAAATCGGACTAGTTTGTGACGTCATAAAAACAAAAATTGTGAATACACTGCTTTGACACTATAATTTTTTCTGTTAATTTATATTTCTCATACAATTTATTGAATTCAGCACATTTCAGGAAGTTTTCAAAATTTGACTTTTGTGGGGGCAAATATATGCAATATAGCGCATATAGTTTTTTTTGCATAATATTATCACTAATCGAGGCAGAAAGAATGTGTTCAGAAATACCTAGACTGAATATTGTAAAATTCAGACAGAAACAAGATTTTTTAACTATGAAATGCTTTGTGTAAACTATAAGCTTTCAACGTTTCCCCGGGAAAAAAAATTTTCCTTTCTCTCAAAGACCTTGCCATTGTGCAAACGACCAGGGGTCAAATCGAAACAAATATGTACCTTTAAGTAATAAGTGATATTTGTGTGTGTTTTGTAAGAATTTTGTAATTCCTCATAAAGAAATGACCAGAAACGAATTTATATCGTTTTTTTTTTATGTCAGATGTTATTCACACAAATGAACCTGGGGAAAACATAACTTGAAAATCACATATATACCTTGTACTGCGACGTTTATTATCTTTGGATTTGCAGAACAGTTGATTCTATTACAACTCTTCAGTTGGTACTGGTGCTGTCCTGGGTTCAAAGGTCCTAGGTCATAATACCCAATGTTGCCCTCACCAGGATCTGTTAGATTAGCAATTTTTTTCCAGGTTGAGCCTTCTTTTCTATATAAGATAAAGAATTGTTTCGGTCCTCCATTAAAGTTTGATTTCCAGGTAAGATTAATGTTTGCTATATCAGAAGAACTCCAGCTTAACTCCGAAGGTGACTCAGGTACATCTTAAAAAATAAAGGAATAAAACTACGAGCTCAGTTGTATAGGTTTTTAAGGGAAACAAAATTGCAGGAAAATAAAACTTTATTTATATTGCCCACTTGTAAGACAGAGAGGAAAGTTCATATTGATACTTACATTAGACAGTGTGTAATTAATTAAAACATAGTTAGTAGGGGAGACATGAGGAAACCTGAACTACTTTAGTAATATTATCATTCTGTCAAATTCTTAATATGAAATGCAGCTGATAAATAAAAAAAAGATGACTAATTGCATTCACAGATGTGTTAAACATAAAAGATAGTCAAAAGTATCTGAATAGGAAAAACATAGAAATGTATAAATTGCCTTAATCAGACTTATAAAACTTAGTAAACCTTCAGGGTTGATTGTTATATTGACAATAAATGTTCCATTGTAAGTCAAAGTAAAATTTCCAAAAGATCTCTGATCAAGGATAGGAATCGTGCTTTTTATCCAGTGTTTGTAGATAAGGTGGTCTCTTTCTGCAATTGTATTTATTATATCCCGATGTTCAGGACCCTTCCAAGATATTCTTGCTTGAGATGTTGAAGGAAAAGGATTTGCTATCACGGGCACGTCGACGAGAACTGTGACATTTTGTCCACTCAATGATCCATAGGTGGTTTTGAAGGACACAGACGTATCAAGTTGAGGCTCACCTAAAATATAGTATTCCAAATAAAAAAGGTAGCACGATTGCATGGCGTTGAATCGGTAAACAAACACCAATATGATATAGCAGATATGTACATGGATATTCAAATTGTACGATTTTACATTTTTATTGTTTATTTGGAATAAATAAATTTATTCGATACACAGAAACAAGCTTTATCTACAAAAGGAGTTTTCCGTTTAATTAAAGAAGCGTGGTTCCTTTTTTCGCCCTATTTTATTGAATAAATATAAGGATACGGCATTGTTTTTTTTTCGTGGTGTATTACAAAGGATTTCCAATTAAATTTGTTTTCACCCATTATTGATAACATCAAATATCAAGAAATATAAGTACCTCATATGCGGAACATTTTCTTTCGAAGAGGGTGCGGTTTCTCTATTACATACAATTAGGCCGAGGCATTTTTAAAATCAAGTACTAAGAGGGTAAAAGAAAGACAATGTTGAGTGAAACGTTAGATAAGAAAAAAAAAATCAATAATATACCATGGTGAAAATAATATTTAAGAGGCAGTCCGCCGAAAAACCAGACAGGGTTGTATTAAATGTGACGAATATTTAAAATTTTATTGAAAACAATATCAATTTAGTCAAAATGAAATAATGTAATTGAAGATTTGTTTGAAAATTACTTATTTAGTAAAATAACCTTTTGTTTCATGTTCTTGAACTCCCCTATATAAACCATTGAATTTAGGTCAGAAAAAACGAACTGTAATTTCAAATACATATTTAACAGGACTATAATTCATGCTGAACTACTAGTAAATCTAGATATATTTCGTCTTTCAGTTTCAATAATAAAATTGGTGGGCAAAACACTTTTGATAGTAGTTTTCTGTCAAAATATATAGACGTTTTTATGAAAATTTGCGATGTAAGAGTTATCTCCCGTGGCATCGGTATATCTGCTTAACACACACTATCGAAATCCTTGTGAAAAATTTAGAATATATACACAAAATAAAATTTTTAAACAATAAACTTCTACTTTATTTTAAAAAAAGAATTCATTTTCGCCTGCAAACGTTATATTTACATGAAGATTGGCAGTATTATTCGGATTGAATCCACGTTTCCATTTATGTATCAGTGACGTCATATTACTGACTAATATTGCGTCACAATTAAATAGTTACAAGTTTTCCAAAGAGTGCATTATCCTACATGTTAAATAAGCATATATTTTTATATAAAATGTATTTTATTCACGGTTGGCGTCTCAGCTAGAAGTCCCTTTTGATAAGTAATTTTGTACATGTCCGAGAACTAATTTTTTAAGAGGCAGTCCATCGAAAAACCAGGCAGTATTGTATTAATAGGCGGCACATCGAATGTGACGAATATGTGATATTTTATTGAAAACAATATCAATGTAGTCCAAATGGAATAATGTACTCGAAGATTTGTTTGAAATTTACATATTTAGTAAAATATCAGTTTCTTTCGTGTAATTGAGTTCCCCTTTATATACCATTGAATTTAGGTCAGAAACAAAGAACTGTAACTTCCAATACATTTTTAACAAGACCTTAATTCAGTGTGAACTAAATCAAGAAATATTTCATCTTTCTTTTTCAGAAATAAAATCGGTGGGAAGAACACTTGTGAATTAGTTTTCTGGCAAAATATATAGACGTTTTCATGAAATTTTGCAGTGCAAGAGTTATCTCCCGTGACTTCGGTAAATCTGCTTAACGCCTTATTATCGAAATCCTAGTAAAAAAAAAAATAGAATCGATCCATAATAAAATTATTAAAAAAAAAATAACTATTTTCAAAATAGAGCTCATTTACGCCTGCAAACATAATATTTGGATAAAAATGGGCTGTATTATTCAGGATGAATCCACGTTTCCATTGATGTATCGGTGACGTCATATACCTGACTAATACTGCGTCACAATCAAATAGTTACAAGACTTCCAGAAAAGTTTGTAAATTCTTTGCGTAAAGGTGCAAAGAAAAATAATTAAAAAAATTTTAATTATTTTTCTAAAAATATTAAGTAATTTCTCCTTTTTCTGTTCAATTTCTCTACACAGTGCAATATCAGAAAATGTTAAATAATTTTTTTTTATTTTATTCATTTTCTTAATACTAGGATATGCGAAAAAAAAAAATAATTTTTATAGTGTTTTTATTGAACATTTCTTATGTAATTTGGATGTGAAAGTTTTTTCTTCTGATAATCAAGGAATCGTGAATATTTTAGATTTACCCAAAATTTAATTTAACGAACTTGAGATGTTTACTTCATGATATTTGTAAAATTTTTAATATATTTATCTATTCAGTCAAATAAAAATAAACAAGCAGCGGTACAAGTAAAAATATAAAACAAAAAACCCTGAAAAATAAGTCACAATAATATCTATTGCGGAAGATTACTGCTGAACTCCCCACTCCAATTTGAAACTAAAACGGAAGATGGTTCAGTGAAACGTGTCTGTTTAAAAAATTAAATTTAATAAATGACCAATATGTTTTATCTAAAGCTTATGTAATATTCAATATATGCGGTTGATAATATACATTTATCCACTGGTTGTGAGTGCGAAAGCTCGTTTATCAAACCCGCGACAGGGAACTATTCCCCGAGGGCTTGCCCAAGGGGAATAGTCTCTGTCAAGGGTTTGATAAAAGAGCTATCCCACTCACAAACAGTGGATAAGCGTTTTATTATACTAATGTATAATATAATTTGTGAGGTTTTAATTTTTTTGGAGTTAGATAATACTGCAAGAATAACCTGATATCCTGATGACGTCATAATGCTACTGAAGTCATTATGACATCATCAGTCAATAGATTTATCGCTTGAATTCAATATTGGAGGCAAAAATCGCATGAAAATTTTCCGAGGGTGGATAGCAAAAGCTAAACCCCGGGGTATAGGTTTGCTATTCGTGAACTATACAAGATAGCTATTTTACCTTCCGAACTTTATATAGGAAACATTTTAACAGAAGTATAATAAAGTACATTGTTTATTTTTTTTATTTGTTTTCTTATTTGAAATAGGTAAGAAAATGACCCCCCTCCCCCGGAGACAACAAAACCTTTGAAAAGAGAATAATAATAAAAAAAAAAGATTTGTCGTTTCGCAGAGAAAGATGTTTTGAAAATAAATTTTCGTTTTCCATTAAATTCTATAGTTAAAAATATTTCCACAAATTTAAAAAGATGTAAATTTCTGTGTGTTATAATGTTTCTCACGCATAGATCGGGGGGGGGGGGGCATTTAAAATTTGTACAGTAATGGGTTAAATAAACTAAACGAACAACCAGTACAACAGACCTTGGACCTTCCACTTAGAAAACGTTGATCAAACATTTATAAAATATATGCATAGATCTAGAGAGGGAGAGAGGAGTCCGGACCAGCCCTTTGAAATTTGTAAAGTTATTTTATGCACAAACTAAACCAATTAAAAGTTATTTAATGTATAAAATAAATCAACTATAAGGAACCTTAGAATCCCCCCTCCCCAACCGAAAATGTGGATTCGTGTTAAGTTGGTTTGAAAAATGTCATAGACATGAAGGTATGACGCATAAGAATCCCCTCTCCCCGGCCGAAATAAGTTTTCACATTAAGGAAAGGACTAAAAACGTTTTCTTTTCTTGTCAAGAAATTTCTGGGTTGGATTTTTTTTTTACCACAGTGACCCTCTTGGAAAAAATGTCCTATAGATCCGCGCCTTTTTTTTTTTAATTTACATAAATATCAAAATAGAAATAAAATTTATTCAAATATGTGTAGCAGTTGGCAGTAAGCAGCTGACAGTTGGCAGTAAGCAGTCAGCAGTTGGCAGTAAGCAGTTGGCTGTCGTATATGGCATTCCATAGACACTGGTAAAAATAAATAAAGTAAATTTTGAACTATATAACAACAAAAGAACCAAATTTAACAATATAGTTATAGTATTTTCTTCTTTATATAATTCCGATCGGGATCGGTTTAATTTGGGAAAAATCATAGATAAAAGGTGAATTTGAATCCTCTTATTTCCCTCAATATACCTGTTCCCACCAATTTTATGACTCAATAGTTTGTACTTTGTTTTCATATTAACATGAGGAAAAAATTCTGTCATAGTAATGTATTGGCTTTTATAACATATCAAAAATCGGATACTGAATTCAAAAAGTCACTTGCTAAACTCAAGTTTGGACCACATAATTTTTTTCTAAAGAAATAAAATTTGGAGAATTAAAAAAAAAAGATTAGTTGGAAATAAGAAATTTAATTAAGCTAAGCTGTTTACTCTCAGTTGTTGCATAATGCATGTACAAATACTTGTTTTTTTTAATACCGAGTATCAAGAAATCGAACAGATGTTATACATGATTGTAAAAATCATGTATGTAAAAGAAATTAGTATCTTAAATTCATTGTATAAACATTTGAATCCATGGATAAAATAATTTTAAAACAGTTGACTAATTGAACAGAAATAAAAGTTAAACATATTTTTTTCTGATACATTAAATGCAGAACCAAATTTAGGAATATTTCTAGTTTTACGGTAAAAACCGATCCCGATTGAAATAAAACCGACCCTGATTGAAATAATGCAAAATAAGTAAAGTTTTAAAACTAAAGATAACTGCCACCCATAATACATGTAAAAAAAATAAATCAAGAAATTTTTCGGTTATACTACAACAAAAGAGCCAAATTTTACATTACAATTATAGTATTTCCTTCTTTATAAAATTCTGGTCGGGATCGGTTATATTGTGAAAAATTCTATAAAAAAAAGGGTAAATTTGACTCCTTTTATTTCTCTCAATATACGGGTGCTCACTGGTTTTATTGAGTGGCTCAAAAGTTTGTACTTTGTATTCAGAATAACGTGAGAAAAAAAATCTGTCATTTTAATGTATTGGGTTTTATAACGTAATGAAAATTGTATAATTAATTCAAAAAGTTACTTAATGGTAAACTCAATCTTTGACCACATAATTTTTTCTAAAGAAATATAAATTGGAGTCTTTTTCATTACTAAAATTAAAGATAAGAGTCTATGGTATAAATAATATTGACAGACACATCCAGGTTTTGCGTATCTAGTACATATAAAACAGAATAAAAACGTTGTAAGTTTTTTTACCCCCTTGTTGACCTTTTTGCACTTAAAATTGAGCACTTACCAAAAAAAGGACTAGTGACGCACTAAAAAAAATTTTGATGTTGTCATTTGTAAACACTTGCTTTAACAAGTCTATATGCAAAAAAATAATAAAAATCCATGACAAGCGATGTGCCAATCATTGCCTGATTTTCAGTGGACTGCCTCTTAATAAGCTTGCATTTCATTTCATTTACTTTATTCGTATACTTCCTAACAATCTCGCCCCGTGGGGATCCGGGTTAGAATAGGTCCTCAGTACACCCTTACTTGTCGTAAAAGGCGACTAAATGGGGCGGTCCTTCGGATAAGACCGTATAAACCAAGGTCCCGTGTCACAGCAGGTGTGGCACGATAAAGAACCCTCCCTGCTCAAAGGCCGTTAAGTGCCGAGCATAGGCCTAAATTTGCAGCCCTTCACTGGCAATGGTGACGTCTCCATATCAGTGAAATATTCTGGAAAGGGACGTTAAACAATACTCAATCGATCAATCAATCCTAACAATCTCGGTCGAAGTTTTTAAAACTCACTTATGTTTTTGATCTATCATTGCTTAATCAAATGGCAAAGTATTTTAACCATTACATGTATATTTTCTAATATATTATCAGTCGAAAAATACGATTATGCGGGCGAACATTAATTTACGGTAAATATATACAGAAATATATTCTCTTTGTTTCTAAATCGAGAGCTAAGAAAAAAATAAACAAGAATAAATAGATATATAACTAAACATAAGTTTGACAAGCTAAAAGAAAATAGAGGAAATCCTTCCGAACTCCAAAAAAAAACCAATATGTAGGACTATGCTCACACTTTTTCTCATTTTGATTAAGAAAATAAACATTTAAGCATTGAATTCATATTTTGGGATGTCCTCGGTCCTATAACACACCTGGCCGTGCCGACAAATTGAATACCGCGCGTTAGCGCGGTATGATAATTTGTCGGCACGGCCAGGTGTGTTATAGGACCGAAGACATCCCAAAATATGAATTCAATGCTTATACAGGTAAATATCAGTATCGAACATGGGATATCTCGAATACCCCGCTTATGTCGAAGTCGATAGCCGGTCCCGGCCGTATTCTCTATTTATATGATTTAAAAAGACACCTGATATCTCGAACACGGTAATCTCGAATACCCCGCTTATGTCGAAGTATATTCAAAGTCCCAAGCCCAACTTTTACCTGGCTTATCTCGAGGTGCAGTGAATTTTTCGGTCTACTGAACACACCTGGCGTCGTGACTTCACACTTTCTCGCCAGTGGCTATTAATTAACACCTTCAAACCGGGGGAATCTTAATTGATCCCAAGCTCATGTTGGGTATCTGTGACACGGTAATTGGTATGAGAGCTTGGGTGTTGGTGTACTAGACTACGACCAATAAAACCAATCGCAGCAATTATTCAAACTGAATACAGACAGTATTACCGATATTGCATTTAATAATATGCTCTGTATAATTAAAATGGTAAATTCATTAAACACAAAAGATTTTTCAATATAAACAGTTAAGTTGCAGTGCGTAATGCACAGTGCAGTGATTGAATAGATCCATGTTTATCTGCGTATAAATAGATAATCTTGCCCGCCATTTGCATTGTTAGTTTCGTAAACTATATGTACCTTAGTAGTACTTCGTAATGTAAAACAGTAAGATAGTATTCAAGTTCAAAGTTTAAATACTGATTATTTTTTTAGTGCTCTAGATTTTGCCTTTAAAAATTTCATCAAATGTTTTTAAAAATTTCGTCTTTTTCTTTTCTTACGGAGAAGGTTCTTCAACTATAACGTTAATGATACATCCCGTTGGACAACGTACGCATGGCCTGGAAAATGTAAAATCGCTGTATATGCAATAAGGCATGTATCATACATGTTAACTCTCCCGATTTAGGCGGGAGTCTACCGCTTTTTCACTCCATCTCCCGCCTACCGATTTAATTCAGAAATCTACCGCTTTTCTACAAAAGCTGCGTCTAAAGTATTTTTGGTTCGCTTGGGTATCCATTTTTGAAGCCACTCTCATAAAATCTCGCTAGATATCGCGTGATTTGACTCGGAATCATACAAACGCTTTTTTTGTACATAGATTTCAAGCACGGATTTGACAACGACAACAACATAAGACTACCAGTGATTACATTGGTTACGATAAATTAATCAACATCCCTGCCATGAAAAAGGAGGTACAGCTTTTAAGAATTAGATGAAAACATTTGACATCGTCTTTAAAAGCACAGAAGCTCACAACTTTATCAATAAAGGCAATAGAAATCACTCGATTGACCAAGCCATATGGCACATCTCTACTTTCGTTTTCGATCACTGATTTATATAACGAAAGATACGAACTTGTTTTAGATCTAGATTAAACCATGCCATCATTTGTTTTGTTGAAAAACTGAATGAACATTCAGAATTATTTCTTCTAGGCTATTTCAGCAAAGATCACTCTTCAAAAGGCTAAGTAAAGCAGCCAATCCAAGCAAAATGATGAGCATGAAAAATATTTGAATTTGTACAATTTATGTCAAACTTAAGGTGTTTCTGTCTTCTTCTTTGCTGTTGATATTTAAGATTAATTAGTGTAGGTACCTGATTTCATTTAAGGCTTATAATATACATTTATATTACATGAAAGATATTGATAATCCAAGCGTTAAACAACGCGCGCGCAATGCTACCGCTTTTGAGGTCTGAATCTCCCTCTTTTTCATCACAATAGGTTAACATGTATGCATGTATATTAAATTGCTTTACAATCATACACGATAAAGAAAACACCAACATTATTTTTCTTAATATTTATTGCGAATATGCTTGAATCTTTACCGTAAAGAATACATGTTTGGTAATACAGGATAGTGTTATGCATGAAGACGTTTAAGAAAAAAACGGGAAATTATTGAATCAACTTTGGAAGATAACTTCGGATACCTCGAACCCCTGGATATCTCGAAGTCGTGTCCAGGTCCCCTCAACTTCGAGATACTGATATTTCACTGTATTTACATTCTCTAATTTTTCTTTATCATAATTGTTTATTTCCTTCATGCTTAATGTGAATTTAGCGCCCCTCGGTATTGGCGTGCTTGATAAACGTAATAGCCGGTCGTGACGTCGAAAAGCCGTTTGTGATGTTGGAAAGTTAAATAACGCAGATAAACATTGCGAGGAAATAAAATGACAAATTAGTTTTTAATGCACTTTTGCCGTATTTTATGTCAATTTTAAAAGGGTAGTTTTTTTTTATGAAAATGAGTCAAAACAATTAACATTTTGGTTTTCCTAAATACTGAAAATACATGCAGTTCCTTCTGTGTATTCTACCACGCTGTGATCAGGTTTCGCCTGTATTATAGAAAGTTGAACGTCGTGGATTTCTAATGGATTTAATAAAGAAAATTACACTGAATGTAAATATTAACATTTGGTAGTGTTTATTCATACCGTAACTGTAATTTTCTGGAGGGGGAGAATCTTTGAAAAATTAAGATTTATGTTTTACATGCATATGTATTTCAGAATTCCGCTCTTTAAATGCTGCAATGAATACTGCAATACATTAATTGATAATTAATTGATTAATTATTGACATGTACAAATAAACCTAATATAAACACTTTAAAAACAGTTTGAATGAAACAAACACAGTTATACAACTTCAAAAGAATTCTTTCTTGGTTATAACAAATATCACAAGATTGGTAAATGAAATCCATACTCTGTATACATGAATAAACTTGTGCATTGCATTAACATATTCGAAAAGTATTATGTTCCCCAACTTTTTGGCTGTAGTTTATCAGAATTAGAAGGAGAAATATTCTTCTAAGTATATCATACTTACACGTCACATTCACAGTCAATTCCTCATGTTTACTCCCATGTTGTGATGTATTTCCTGTACATCTGTAGGTGCCGGAGTCAGAACATTGAGCTTTTGCTATAGTGTAGTTCAGCCAGTACTTGTCTCGTGGTTCATTGGTATGCCTTTTCGAGACTTTGCTGAGCTTGATTGTAGGGGTGGGATTGCCCTCCACAAAACACGAAATATTGAGAGTATGGCCTTCTTTGATGTTTGACCGAGTCAGATTACTATCATTAAGAAAGATCACAGGTTTCGATAAATCTGCAATTAAATTATATACATTGTATGTTCCACAAAGTGATAAAAAATTGGCTGATAAAGGTCGACTTAAAAAAATATTGCTTGTATAATTGATTATTTTCATTTTATACGATATATGGATCACCTGCATAATATAATTTTATTTTAATTTAGCATAACACCGTATTTTGTTTTGGACGTCGTTTGTTGTATAACAGGACCCGGTAGTGTCGACAAATTGAATGGTATGATATTTGTTGGAAGGACCGTGTCCTGAGGTAGGGCCGCATCTACATCCATTTACATCCAAGAAAGAGATTCAATGCTTAGTTTTGTCTAATTTTCTTTCTTATAATTTATAATTTCATTAATCTTAGTTGTGGATTAAATGCCTGAACAGGAAAATAACTTTAAACGTATTCAGTATTAAAAATAATTTAATAGGGTACATAGTACTTGTTTATTTGAATTGAGCTAAAAAAAAAAGAAAATGCATATAATTTATACTTTGTATTCACATCCTCAGTGACAATAAGGTTAAGCGTGTGTTATAGAGAGTTAAACGGGGTAGATTTCCAATGAATTTTATAACGAAACAAAAACACTGAATGTAAATGAATCATATGGAGATAACAAATAGTTTTCATTATCAGAAGTCCAGAAAAAAGAAAAAAAAAAAGAAGCAGAGCATACACCGACCTCAGAAACATCAGAGATGGGATTAGGTGTCATAGAGTAGTCAGTATGTGCTCCTTGTCATGATCGGGAAGTAACGGATAAATTTATTGTAAATTCAGTTTTTAAATAATAATAATAGTTAACATTCTTGTCTGTATTCAGACGAATTTAACATGATTAAGTACAAATGTTGACGTCGTGTGTATTGGGGTGCAGGAAAGGAAAATCCACCAATCCATGCGTCATTGCGGCAAAATGTCAAACAAGATATCTTTCTGCAGTTCCAATACAATGTGCAATTCAAATGGCAATAATTTTTAAAATGTCATAAGTGCTTTTTTATGCTGAGTTTACACTGATTTTTCTTTAAGTGGATGAAGGGCCTTTAGCTGAAAAAATGCCTGTCATTCAATTTTTTTCATATTTTGTATATTTCTTATTTAGTATGTCCCACATACCTTAAAGCAGATATATCAATAGGTTTCTAGATTAATCCCCCATTCGCGAACCTCTGATTTTGCAATAAAAAAAGAAACGGCGAGTTCTAAGGTTATCCCTGACTTTGAACATAGACCCAAATATTTTTTTTTCGCTGTAGCTTAATTCTAAACCCCCAATTCTTACGAACTGTATTTATCTGCAAAATACATTCTCTCGGTAAACGTGAAGTTTTTAAAAAATAATTTACTCACCTTGATTCCATGGATATTATAGATAAATATGAACTTTTTGATAATTAAACTTGTTCTACTCATTCCAAATTTTGCATTTTAAAGAGGCGGATATTATTTTTATTACTGAAGTATTAGCGCTCAAACTAACGATTATGCCCTTAACATATTAGAATACACTTACAAAGAATGTTTAACTTGATGCTATAATTCTTACGCCCTTCACTGTTGTTAGCTACACATTGCATCAGAATCATTCCATTTCTGTCTTTGTTTAGATATGGTAAAGGTGATGAAGAAATCTCATAAGGTATAACATCTCTAAAACCTCCGTCCGGTTGTTTATACTTCCATTGTACAGTACAAGGTGGATTACAGTCAGCTGAGCAGTTGTACAGACCAAGATCACCATCTTTAATTGTTATTGTGTCGTTAGGAGGTTTTGGGGATATACTGACACTTTTTGGGCCGTCTGTGAAAAGAGGTCAATTACTTTAAAATGTAATGCATTAAATTACAATAACTTAGGAATTTTTATCATTACAATTACAATTACTATTACTCTCATTCAGAAAAGTAATTAATTGAATTACAATTACTTTGTTAAAGTAATGAATTATATTACACATTACATTTTATAAGAGAAAACACAAAACAATTGTATGGCCACACATATTATACCTATAAATTAACTATCACATTTGTTCGATTAATATGCTTTCCCTCAGATCTATAAATCAAAAAGCGGTATTTGGATTTTAGATTTATGTATTATTTTCATGTAGTTTACCAATCCAAATTACAGTTTACAAAGAAAGTGGAACAGAACAATTTCAATGTTGTAGTTTTGTTCAATATCTGATGTTAGTTTCTCTGTTTTTTTTAAATAAATAATTTATTAAACATTTCCTACCAGAGGTTATATGTAAACAGATAATGCTATAAATGTAAAAAGAGTACAGTATTAGAAACTTAATGAATTAATTAATTAGCACTTCTAATTAGATTAACAGGTATAATCAATAAAGCTATAAACTAAACACAACCAAAGGTGATAATTACAAGTACGTAGATGTAGGGATTGAATTTTGAGGCCTTCAGCTACCAAAAATGAATGATGGTCAATATTTTAGTTTCTATTTATATTTGTCCTTAGTTTCTCTTTGTGTCTACAATAAATCATGAATTGTATCATGATTACATTGTCCATTTTACCAGAGTGAAAAGGGAAAAAAAGAAGAAAAATATAATTTGTATCTTAATTTAACTGGAAGTCTCACTATACATGTATTAATGTCTCTTTTTTGTATCGTTCTTTAAAACCTGGTGATTTCTTTTAGTTTTTTTCTATGGTTCTCTTCAATTGATTAAATTATTTTTCAAGAAGATTTCTATTAAAAGAAATATTTATTTAATGTCTATCAATTACCATTTAATAATATAAAAAAATGTAGGATATAAGATTTAATTTTAAGGCTCTAACATTATTACTAAAAAAATAACCTCTCAGTGATATATATTTATTTTCAGGTTCAAAAAAAGAAGAGACTAATATACAAAAATATAATTGAAATGTAATTGAAAAGTAATTGGTCATAACTGGCATTTTCAAGTAATGCATTGCATTACAATTACTTGTAATTGAAAGATGGATCCATTACACATTACCCCATTACTTTGAAAAAATGTAATGATTACAATGCATTACCATTACACATTACCATTACCCCAGTTCTGGCACATAATAATAAAACACATACACTGTATTTCCGAAAATGTTTGTTGATAAATGACCATTGCATTGAGTTTATGACTTGGTACCGCAATATATGACAGTGAGCAGCACAAGCTAGCCCATACAAATATAGTATGAGGCAAAATAAGAGACTGTTATTATTTCATCAAGTATGACAAGAAATTATATATGGAAACCAACACAATATTTGGCATATTTATCACTACAGTTTTATATACCGGTAATAGTATGTATAAACTTGCATGTAGATAGCTAGCAATGAAATATATCTATATATGATAGATATATTTCACTAAAAGGGTCTATCAAACTTGATTCAGACACTCCTGACTGGCATGGTAATAGAAAAAATTGAATATGATAAATGCAGCACAGACGAAAAAAAAATTAACACCCTTCCCCGCAGTCACGCATTTTAACGCATATACCATTTCCTATTTCTAACGCAAAATCACGCATTTACCGTTTCCCCGCAATCACGCATTTTCACGCACTTTAAAAAGTTCATTTTAATCTGAATTTATTGCCAAATTCCAACTATTTTATACTTGCTTGAATCTCATAAAATAAGAAAAGTTATTTTTAATTAAAATACTATTTTAATATATTGATCACGCTAAACTTTAGAGTAATTTGTATCCCGCTATGAAGTGCTTGCGGGGAAATGGTAAAGTAATATTTCTATGACGCAAGGATTCAATGTATGTTGCATAGCAATTCTGTAAGTTGTAAAGAGTTAAAAGGGTCTTCCCAGCAATTGGGACAGGATTTTTGATATTTTCACGAGTGCGAAGCACGAGTGAAAATATAAAAAAAATCCTGTCTCACGAGTGAAATAAATTCCATATTCAACTACAAAACATTGAATTTTCTGTTTATTACATTTAAAAAAAATTCTTTGATTTTTCCTTTCTCTCTGTATTTTTGTAATACAGTCATAGACTCGTGACGTCATAGTTGAGCGGTTGAGACGTCATAGCTATGTGAGGTGAAAACACTGTAAACATGGATTTAGCAACATATGTTTGGTAATTTTGACAGTTTTATTCGTTGTTAGAATGGTTTATTTATTTCCATCTATCTTATATTATGTCAAGGGAGATTTTCTTTACAGCAATCTTCGTTATGAGAAGGGAAATCGAGAGTTTTCCCGCACTTCTGATATTCGTCACACTGTGACAGGATATCATTTTGATATCCTTTCACAGTGTGACAGGATATCATTTTTATTCAATGAATAAATTACAGTATTTCACGGGTAAAAATGTAATAAAAAGTATCCATATAAACCCTTTCCAATGAACTTTAATATAATTATTTGACGTTTTACTATTAAAGTACAGAAGTTTAAGCAAAATACCCACACAAAATGTTTATTTTAATTTCGTCACTTCTTTCTGATTCAAGAGTTTCTTTCGCCTGGCAACTGTACCCTTTGTATCTGTCATCTTTGGAGACCTTGAATGTGTAGTTTGCACTTTGTTCTCCGTCTACTCTGGTGCCATTAGCAAACCAAGTATACGATAATAGTGGGAACTTATGGTAGTCGGGGGCAGATGTAGATTTACTTTCACATTTCAAGGTGGCATTTTTTCCGTCTTTAATTTCCAGGTCTCCAGTTATATTAGGTTTCTCTGGTTTTCCTGAAAAAAATTATTTAAATGATAATGTTGCAGGAAATGAGAGGTGGATTATTACTGTTTACAAACTAAAATTATGACATGATATTAAGTCTCCTCAAAAGAAAAAAAATGTTTGTATCATCTGTCCTTAAATGCAAGATTTCAATTCATGAATTCGTTTGATTTAACTTATGTTTATTTTACTTCATTTTTTTCACTTTTTCAACATCAACACCTTACCAGAAACTATGAGTAGAACCCCCTTTTCTGTTGAGAAAGCTGTTTTCTTTCTTTCACTTCCAACGTAATATCCTGCATCTTCTGCTGATATATTTATCACTTCAAATAAAATTTCAGGGCAACCGGGTTTGGCATGGTAAAAATATTTTTTGTCAAATTTTGTTTTGTATGCTGTGTTAGTTACTGTCATTATCAATTGCGGTTTTCCAATATATGCATGAAATATCTTGTAATCTCCACTTTTTGGAAAATACTTAGCAATCCATGAGATGTTTTTTGATTCTCCCTCCGTAGATTGTACTGTATTGACTGAAAATAGAGACAAAAAATATGTAAATCCTGCAGGTACTTTATAATATTTGAACGAACTATGATATTAATTATCCTTGTAGAATAAAATTATTTTTGGCATTATAATCCTTGCCATATTTATAAATTAAGAGACAATTTTAGCATATTATTTGAAATAATCTTCCATAAATATTTATTACTTGCTTTAAATTCTGATATGAGAATTCAACACTGCATTGATAACGGATTTCAGATCAATATTCAGATCAGAATAAAATTTGGCACACATAGGGTCATAAACAAATTCTGCTGAAACAAAACAGCAAAAACTGCCATATGTAGTGAAATGTTTAAATACCCCATGTATGTGACGTCATGATGTGAAAATGATTTCAATATGAAGATCATTTGGACAAAAAAAAATGGCAGTCGTATTCGAGCAAGGAACGGTTGTCAAGCTACTTCCTTCAAAGATGCATATTATAGGGTTATTGAACTTGATATTGTTGAATATTAACACGAGTTGGCTGTTCAAATGCACGAGCGTGCCAATGTTCATCAATATAGTTTAAAAACTCCTTTATTATACATGTATAGCTAAAACATTTCCACATAATATGTAGAAATTATTCCAACAAAAAAACCTCAAATTAGTGATAATTTAGTATCAGTATTCAAATTAACGTCTGCAGTTAGCGTTCAATATTGCATCATTTCGATGACCCTACCGAGCGATATAAATTACTTATTTATGCTTTAATGGGTCAAATAGGTACCATATCTTAATTAATATTTTCATTTTTGCATGAAAAATAAACACAACCTACCAAGATACCACTTCCTTTCTTAAATGTAGCTCTGAAAATATGATCAGACGATTTTTTTTTACAACAGGGCGTTTAATTTTGAAGGCTCGTGTTCGGAATGTTACAGGCATACTCATTTACGTAATACAAACTTAGCGATCAATAAACCTCAAGATATCGGACGCTTAAATTCTTTAAATTTTGTTAGTAGAATTTATAAGACACTCTTTATTATTTATACAATAAAATAATTTATACACGGTTTTATGAAGATAAAACATTGCAGCGGTTTTTTTTATTATTGGATTGATTGTATTAGTGAAAAAAAGAAGATGTTGAAAAATGATCTTCGTTCTGTTGCCTATTTAAAGAAAACTTGGGAAGAGGTGTTTGTTTTTCTTTAGCAATTTCATATCAAAGATTGCCACCTGTAAATTAGAAAAAAAAGTTGAATGTCTTTTTAAATCCCAAAAATATCGTAGATTTTTTACTTTAAACATATCAGATATGATAAAAAGAAGACACATTACGTTATCAACAATGAATAGTATCTATCATTTGGATTGTTGTTGACAATTTATCTATTGCAAAGGCGTCGGAAGCATGTTGAAAGTGGGGGGATGGGGCTAATTAAAAGTTGGGGGTGGTGGGTTAGACAAACAAAAAAAGAAAAGGAAAACCAAATTTTCAATTTTTATATTTTGTTAATATTTGCAAAAAAGTGTGGGTTCCGGTTTCGACGCCTATTTATTGAATATGACGTTATTTTCCTCCCTATAGTCAAAGCATTATGACCTCATTAAATGTCATTTTCCCCATTACCCGTTTATTTCTCTAAAATTAGTCTGAAGTTGAAGCATTATTAAAATCAATTCAAGTAGAGCACACACTCTTATCCAAGATATGCAATTACTTAATGAAAAAGATCTGTTTCTGAAGATTTACAAACATGTTTTAAGTTTTGGATTGTGGGTTGTGCTCATATTTTTATTCTTTGCTAGAGGTGTATCAAATACGTGTTTTCTGCAAAATTCAAGAACATTGCAATTTCTAGAAGCCTGTTTTCCATTGCCTAGACTCTCAAAAGGAAATTTTATTATATGTAAACCTAAAGGGTTTGTACAGACGTATTGTTTGAACATTTTAAACTTAGACAATATTAAAATCATAATCACTTATAGTTATTAGTCGTGAAAGTTAAATGATATAAAGGGTTATTAAATCATATTGTATATTAATAATAACTCAAGTTTGGTGAATTTGGAAAAGGACTTTGATTTTGTTAACTATTATTATCTTGTTAAAACAAATTGGATTTTGTTGTTGTTCCTATGCACTATAATTTGGTAAATCATTTTGTAATGAAATTGATCCGGATAGACCAATCAAGCCCATCGATAGTAAGAAATAAAATTTAAACGGAAATACAATGGTATTATAAAGAGTTTTGACTAAGAGCAATAAAATATGGAACTTTGAAGTAAATAAGTAAAGGAGCTTAGGGCTAGAACTCCTGTGGTGCAGAGATGGGGACTGAACCCATGAATGTTATTTATGAGTATTTGCCTGCATTAAAGGGTGACGTTGAGGTTCATAGGTCAACGTACAGACCTACGGACAAGCGTAGGTGGTTAGTGATGGTTGGTAAGCCAATGAAATGCATTTTATATCCGGGACCAAGGATACACACTAAGCACAAAAATACCCTGTTTTGGTCAGAAAAGAGCAATCCCGTTTTAATTACCTTTCCCGTGTTTATACCCGGTCTTATTCTCAAATTATCAACTATCTCTTATTCTATTTTTGGGAATCATATTTGGGAGTTCGGTCTCCAGCGTTTTGTATTGTAACGATTTTGACTGTATATATATTGAAAATGTGTGTTTATGTATATGTGATTTTAATTTATTCCGACCGGAAGACGTATTCATCATTATTGTATGTTTAAACTACATTTAAACTTCTTGTACATCATTGTTTTACCTTATTTATAAGTCATGCTGTCATTTCACATTGTTTACTTTCGTTTTCCATTACTTCCGGTCGCGGGAAATTATGTACAGCTCTTACCTAGAATGTGTCGTGATTTCGCGGTTTATAACGTCACGTTGTGTCGTGCTACGTCACTTTAGGTTAACATTTAGTTTTAGAAGTCAGTTCCCAGATAGAAAGACATAGTTGGGCCAACGTTGGCCCAATTCTTTTTCCAACGTTGGCCCACTGTTGGTAACCTTACGTTGGCCCACGGTAATTTTGCTCATCGGCCCAACGTTGGTCCAACATGTTGGCATATTGTTGGGCCAACGTAAGTATAATTGTATGAAAACTATCAGCCAACCTTGATAACTAGTTGGTTAGGTTGGCCCAACGTTGGCCCTTTGTTGAAATGTGAGATGGCATGTTGTTGGTCCAACGTAGTTATTAGTGTATGCCAGCTAGCAGCCAACCTTAACAACTGTTTGGGTAGGTTGGCCCAACGTTGGCCTTATGTTGAAATGTCAGATGGCATATTGTTGGGCCAACGTAGTTTGTAGTTTTTGCCAACTAACAGCCAACCTTAACAACTGGTTGGTTAGGTTGGCTCAATGTTGACCCCTTTTTAAAATGTCAGATGGCAAATTGTTTGGCCAACGTACTTGTTACATAGAAACATTTTCAATTGGTTAAGTGATGCTTTACATAAACTTATTTTATGACTGTTTAAAAATATTAATACACAATTCAGTCTGCATTCTGTTATGGGTCAGAATTACCCGAAATGCCATCAAAGATCAATAACACAAATTAAACTTAACAATAATTTATTTACAGTAATATATAATAAGTATATGAAACATAAAGTACAAACTTAGCAAGAATCTAAGAATACATACATCAGAGTGTCCGTTGCTGCACACAATATCCCAGTGAAAATATATCCCAGTTATATCTCAATAGTGCTTATACGACAAAGTATCTATGCATCGAATTGACAGGGTATTTATACAGTAATATAAATCTAGAATATTCTAGAAATTGTTAAATCATGATACTACTGGAACAATCTGGACATACCCAACATTTAAGAATGTTCTAGATAAAATGACCGAACATGTTGACCACTCTGGAACGTTCAAGAAATTTAATGTTACTAATTATATACATAATGAAACAATACGCATCTCACAACACCTCCCCTCTTAAAAAAGTTTGAATGTCAATGAAAACTTTTATTATTAAAATAAAAGTAATGTACATTAATACAAAATCTAGTATGTTTACGATACTCTTGACAAGGCTTCTGCAATAACATTGTCTTTGCCTTTGATATGCTTAATTGTTATGTTGTATTCTTGTAACAACAAACTCCATCTAGTCAGTCTTTGATTCTTATTTGACAATTTATGCAAAAATGTCAGGGGGTTGTGATCCGTATATACAAGAATTGGATGCAAAGTAACATTCAGATAAACATCAAAATGCTGTAAGGCTAACATCAAAGCAAGGCATTCCTTTTCAATGGTGGAATACTTTTGTTGACATTTTGTAAGTTTCTTTGAAAAATAAGAAACAACTCTATCTACCTTATCACTATGTTCTTGAAACAAAGCTGCCCCGATTCCAACATCACTAGCATCAACAGTTAGCTTAAATTGCTTAGCAAAATCTGGAGTTGACAGAACTGGATTGCTCATAAGGACAGATTTGATTTTATGAAAGGATTTTTCACAGTCCTTTGTCCATTCAAAGTTAACCCTCTTTTGTAAAAGATTTGTAAGTGAACTAACAACTGAGGAAAAATTTGGACAAAATTTTCTGTAAAACCCAGCCATGCCCAAAAACCTCATTAATTCTTTCTTGTTTGTAGGAATCGGGAACTTTGCAATAGCTTCCACTTTAGCCATAATTGGTGTAACATAACCTTGACCTACTTTATGACCTAAATATTCTACATAAGCATGACAAAATTCGCTCTTCTCAAGATTCACAGTTAATTTTGCTTTAGCTAAAATGTCAAATAAAGCAAGCATGATTCGGAGATGTTCGTCCCATGTGTTGCTGTATATGACGACATCATCAATGTAGGCCTCGCATCCCTCAAGATCATGGAGAAGGGAGTGAATCATCCTTTGGAATGTAGCCGGTGCGTTTTTCATGCCAAAAGGCATTACTTTATACTGGTAAAGTCCATCTGGTGTAGCAAAAGGAGATATTTATTTTGCTCTTTCTGTT